ACTGTGAAGCCCATGTCAACAACTTCTGGAACGGAGACTGAAGTTTGTGATTGCCAGCATTCTCAGGAGGAACATATACATAGATCCATCTCACGTCGTGGTTGTTCGTGCGCGTCCTGATGCAATGACCTCGTCCCTGTAGGCTAGGATCTTTGGGCACCTCGATCTCATGTATGGAAGATTCTCGAGCAAATTGTCGATAAAGCCCGATGGCCACTCCAGCATGTTTGTTAGACCGTCGTCCATATCCAGCCGAATAGAAAAGATGATCCCCAATACTGCGCTGCTCGATCGCGAGGTCGTGCCCTGGAAGCCGAGTGCCCTGGAGACCGATGACCGCCTTGTGCCTGACCTCGCCGAAGATGTCGTCTAACCTCCCGCAATTCAGAGTGGACAGCGTGTTGTAGCTGATAACCTGCGCGGCGTTGGGATAAGGACGAGAAGTGGCGCTCATCGCGCCCGAGCAGGAGCAAGTATCGGCCCCCCCGATTTCTTGCGGAGAAACACGGCGGAAGAAAGAATGTGCCGCAGCCCTTAGCAGTCAGCTCGGGGCCACGGGCTAGGAGGAGTAGGAGGAGCAGGAGGAGGGGGAGGAGGAGGAGCAGGAGGAGGGGAGGAGGAGGAGGAGGAGGAGGAGGAGGAGGAGGAGGAGGAGGAGCTGGAGGTGGAGGTGGAGGAGGAGGTGAGGAAGAAGGAGAAGGAGGAAGAGGATAGACGCCAGCCGAGACGGCGGCCCGACTCGGTGCGGCCGCTCGCTTTACCCGCCGCGGGCGGCGGGGCTGGGCGCCGCTGGTCAACTCAGCCAAGCAGCGCGGTGTCCTGTCACGAGGCCCTCAGAACCCTGGCCCCCGCGGGAACCAGCGGCAACAGCCAGCCAGCACTCCTGGGCGGGCCGGACCGCTGGCCTGTCCCGCAACGAGGCCCGCGGGCAGCACCAGGAGGCCGCAGCCCACGGCCAGGAGGAGCCGGATCGGCGTCCCGACGAACCAGTTTGCGGGGGCCTCGAACTGCCTTCCGACCCGCTGGAGGGCAGGGCGCTGGCGGGTAGAGGGCGACCACGCTCGAGGGGCACCTGGGTCAAGGGGTTGACCCCGCGATCGGAGCTGCTGCATGATGTCGAGCTCCCTCCGCCGCGAGTTCGGATTGGCGGCTGGACCACGGCACCGGTCCTGGAACTTCTTGGAGAGTCGATTCGACTTCGAGCTCCCGGCGCCGCAGATTGCGCGGAAGCAGGAAGGCCCACCCGCTCGACCACGTGGGCCTGCCCCACCGGCGGTGGGCAGCACTTCGGGTGGAAGAGCCCCTTCTTGTAGGACGGGGTCGTGGCCGCGTACTGGAAGCAGGTTTTGCACTTGTTGATGCCGTTCGGCAGCGTCACGACGTCGCGTTCAGTGGTCATCGTCATGGGCTTCTAAGCGCGCACCTTCGCGGCCGCGGGCATTTGAGGGACCTTGGCCGAGCCGCCAAAGACAGCCGCGGTACCCTTTGCGCCGCCCAGGCCGCGTACAGCATCGCGCTTCTAGCATCTTGCAGTTTGATCTCGCTGGCCCTCACCAGGACGTCCGACACCGCGATATCGGCCAAGCCCATCTGAACGAAGGTGTCGGCCCAGAAATTGCCCACGTACATGTAGGTCGTGCCATCGGCCACGATCGTGTATTCCAGATGACGATGGGCTGGCGCCCAATCCGCCGTCGGCGTGCCGGAGCCGGCACCCACAACTGTTGCGATGTGTTGCCGCACCGTGGCGTGCGGACCTCGAGGCCGCTCATGCCGGCCCGACCAGGCCTGCACCGCGTGGACGAAGGAGAGATGGTTCGAATACAGGTGGGCGAGGGAGAAGGAGAAGGAGAAGGAGAATGAGAAGGAGGTAAAGGAGAAGGAGAAGGAGAAGGAAGAGGAGGAAGAGGAGGTGCGGAGGAGGAGGAGGAGGAGGAGGAGGAGGAGGAGGAGGAGGAAGAGGGCTCAGGCCGAGAGCGAGCAGTCCACGCCTCCGAAAAATATGGAGCCCGACAACCTGCATACCAACCCGCTTCTGTGAGAGGCACACTCGTGGTACCGACCGAGGGGAAGGGCCCACCACGGATCACCCTGCGAGCATGCAAGCAGTGGCGCACACGAGGGGCTGTGGCAAGCCACACGGTCTAAAGTCGGCCGGGGGTGGCAGGTCAAGATGCCTGTCAATGCTGGCGGCGAACTCTATGACGCGCTCCAGAACGTCGTTGTCCGAGGAGCTCGGGGAATGGCCGAGGAGGAAGAAGAGGAGGAGGAGGCGTGGAGGAGGGGGAAGGAGGAGGAGGAGGAGGAGGAGGAGGAGGAGGAGAATGCGAAAGTTGAGGAGGGGAGGAGGAGGAGGAGGAGGAGGAGGAGGAGGACAGGAGGAGGAGGAGGAGAGGAGGAGGAGAACAGGAGGAGGAGGAGGAGGAGGAGGAGGAGGAGGAGGAGGAGGAGGAGGAGTGACCGTACCGAGGGCGAGCAGTACTGTCATCAATGCGCAGACCTGCTCGACAGGGGGGGCTTTAGCGGGAGCAGCGGGAGCAGCGGGAGCTGGCCTCATAGCATGAAGATGTAGACCTTGTGGTCGCGAGCGCCTTCTGAAGCTGTTCCACCATCCCTGGGTGCTCCGCAATCTTTGAGCAGGAACCCGAGAGCGGGTTAAGGAGGAGGAGGAGGAGGAGGAGGAGGAGGAGGAGGACAAGGAGGACAAGGAGGACGAGAGGGAGGAGGTCCAGAGGGAAGCTGGACTTGGAATTGGGGGCGGGCCGGCACTGTCCTTGCCTCAAGTCGTCTGACGGCTTCCCAGGCCTCGGGTCGGGTGAGGCACCGATAGTGGGACGTTCGCCCGGGCTGCCAGCGCCTTCAGCCCAAGCCAAATCGCTATGGGGAGGAGGAGGAGAAGGAGGAGGAGGATGAGGAGGAGGAGGAGGAGAGGGGGCAGGAGGGGGAGGAGGAGAGAGAAGAGGAGAGAGAAGAGGAGAGAGAAGAGGAGGAGAGAGAAGAGGAGGAAGAAGAAGAGGAGAAGGAGGAGGAGAAGGAGGAGGAGGACAGGACAGGACATCCGCACAAGGGGGTCAACGTCTACACCTACAAAGGAGCTGCGAGTTCGACTCGCAAAATCCGCTGCGATTAGAGCATGCCGCAGACCCAGACTTTTCATGGGGGCCGGCAAGGGGCATACCCCGAAGCTTCAAGGGGCGAGCTCCGAGGTGGCCCCAGACGAGAGGCTCGCTACCTTGAGTACGGTTCCCTACGGGTCAGTGCGGGGGAGCAGCTGTTGGCCCTCTCGCGTGCCCATGACGATGGGGACGCGCTGGGCGAGCAGGGGCTCCCAAGCAGGGGGGAGAACGACGACGCGACCACACTCAAGGAGAAGAGGAGGGGATGCAGGAGGCCCCTCCGTGCCAAGCTTTGCTGGGGGGGCCTTAATGTTCTGCCCATGACCTGCTGCGCCCACGCTCCTAACAGAGGAGGAGCAGCCAACGGTTAACGAGACCCTGGGTTTTTGAGGCCGTCTATGCCGAAGCCCCGCCTAGCCAGATCATGGACCCAGGGCTTCTGGGAGCCCCTTGCCCACAGTGGCAGACTGCTGCCTGTCAAAATATAGCTGCTGACGTTGAGGACCCTCCCCACACTGGAGGCCCCCGAGGATTACAGCCAACAGTCCCCAGTGAGTTTACACATTGATGGCAGCCCCACGAAACAAAATGACTTTCAGGCTCGCTTCGAAGAATTTTGCCTTCAGTGGGAATGCCCAATGATTATGTCTAGTCCCCAGCAGAGCGCTCACCAGAGAGGATTATTCCATGGGACGCGCGAGGACATACTACGAGGCGCGCGTCCGAACCGAACATATAGTACAAACATCTTGTAATGCATCGTTTCCCGAGCGGTATGCCCAGAACATGCCCGCAACGGGTCGTATACTACAAGATTTCTCGGCGCGCGCGTCGCCCCTGGGGGGGCGACGCGCACATAGTATGAGTGTGATGGTGTGATGCCGATTCCAATGGCGGTGCTTCCCCTGTGCTGGCGTAGGTTTGGTCTGGGCGGACTGCTGGGTTCCTGCTGGACCCGTCCTGGAGCGGCCGGAGCTCGACGAGTGGCGCGGGCACCTCTGGCCTCGGGGGCCCTTGTGCCCCCATAGGGGCCGTCCGTAGAGCTCCACCAAAGAGCGGGAACGCCTTCATGAGGACAGTCAGAACATCATGCGCACCACATTGAACGCAGCCGCCTCGGCTGGACTGGCGGGCGCTGCCTCTACTTGTTTCCTTACTTCCTCCTCGCCGTCCCTCCGCCCTCAGGCCGACCACCGATCCCCGCTCGAGGTAGCGGCTCCGTACCGTCTGGAGGGCAGCGCGAACTGCGCCTCGGCGCAGTTTATCAAGGCGGGGCCCGCTTCCGCTGCCGTCGTCCTCAAATGTGAGGCACTGGCGGCCAAGGTGGCTCTGGCTAGGAGGGTGGAGGGCTCGGTTCTGGTGGCAGGCTTTCTCGTTCCATCAGCTGCGCTGTCGCCGAGCGCTTCGGGGTCTGTCTTGAGTGTTTTGAGGCCTATACCGAGCCCCCCCGAAGTCGAACTGGATGTTTTCCCGTCTTTCCAACCTCTTGACCCTTATCTTTGAGGGTTGTACAATTATGTGCTACGCAAGGCAGGTGGTGCATTCTCCGTGACCTCAGTCATTGAATCGCAGATATCAGATCGCAGGTGGTGGAGCTCTGCATGTGGTCTCTGAATGATCTCTATGGAATGTTCTCGAGATCGCCGTACGATCTGGGGATAATTACCCCTCCAACGCTGACAAGTGAACGCGCCCCCCGCCCCGCGACTGGCTATCCAATCAGGGAACGCAGAGGATGACGGAGTAGCAGTAAGTATGGGGAGGAGCTGCGGGACGCGGAGGAGAAAATAGGAGAAGCATGAGGAGAAACAGGAGCAGGAACAGGAGGAGGCGAAGAGATGGGGTCTACTCCAGCGTGCAAGGGGGGTTGCAGGCGCGCCCTGCCTGGCGGAGCTGCTCAAGGCTAGGGTTGTGCTTGCCAAGGACTACCAGCGCCTGCTTGCAGGCCTCCGGCCGCGAGAGAGATTAGAAAGCGAGCTCCGCCCTGCGCTCGGTCTGCAACACTCTCGAGGATCGAGGATCGAAGGGAACAACTTTGGACGCTTGGGGCCCTTCTTGGGTCTCCAGAAGCCTTTCGGAGGCCTCTACCAGAGGCAAAGTCCCGCCAAGTTCTTCTCCTTCTCCCCTTCCCTCACTCTCTCCCCCCCTCCCTCGCTCCCTCCATCCACCGTTCACTCCCTCCAGCACCCACCACGTTCTTATCATCCTCACCCTCCCTTCTTCCCACCCTGTCCCCCTCCCTCCCTCTCACCTGCCCGCCCACCCACCGACCCACCATCCCTCCCTCCCTACTGTACTCCGCACCAGGCACCGCGACGGCCGAACAGGTCACCTCGCACCAGAAGAAAAGAGAAGAACGCGAACGGCACAGTCCAAATGAGGAGCGTTCCTTTGCGGGGCGAACATGCAAACGGGCACGATCACCATTTCACGGCGATCATCGAAGAACACCTGAAGCCAAGTTAAAAGTCAAGGAGGTGAACGTTTGAAGTCCTGTGCCTTCGAAGGCCCGAGGCCCGGGGGTGCAGGTTTGCATGGGAGGGCGCAGGAGGCTCATCACCCTGACACCCTGCAAACGACGGGCTTTGGGAATGGCCAGTGCCTCCCGCACGGAACACACAACTACTGATATATGCCCGGTCCAGAACAGAACCCCTCCCCCCAGATCGAAATCTATGTGAGACGCTACTGCTGGCTTCTGCCAGCGGACCCGCCCCCGTTTTACTTCCGTCGGCCTTCCGCCAGATAAGAGAACTCGATCCCTCGAGAGCGGAGCCATGTCTGGAACATCCCCTGCGGATGCCATGCGTCTTCCGACCCGCAGCGAGCCGATAACATCAGCAAGCTGTCTTCGTGGGCCCTCGCAACGCGATGGCGCCGCAGAAGGCCATGAGCTGCTGCGCGACAGCGAGTCGACAGCGCCGCCGGAATCTTCACCGTCTTCGTCGTCGTCAGCATCATCGTCCTAGTCGTCCAGGGTCGTTCGTCCGTGTCGTCCCAGGATAGCGTTGGGAGCGTAGGGGGCCAGATCGCTGCAGGACAGCGCTGAGATCGTTCAGGATAGATAAAGTGTTGGCACTGTCCCAGGAGGGCGTTGAGATGCTCAACGTGGGCGCCGGCGGAATTGCCAACACGTGTCTGCGCCACCCACTTGCGAGGCGGGGACTTATCCATACCCACCGCCTGGGAACCGACGTCCCAGTGCCCCAGCGGGCTGTGGATATGGATAAATATATATATATATATATATATATGTGTGTGTATGTGTATATATATATATAGATTGTGGCCCCCGGGGGCACGAATATATCCATATCCACCGCCTGCCGAGGTCCCAGAAAATTGACCCTCTGGGCGGTGGTCGTGTACAGTCGGGGCGTTGACCTAAGGAACCCTAAATAAGGAACGAGGCCCTTTTTTCCATAAGTTAAACTTCGATTTCCCATCGAAAACATAAGGAAAACCTGAAGCAAGCTGCGAAACAGTGAAGGAACACGGAGCCCCTCCCCAACGAGAAGGGTTCCTTCTTCAACGCCTCGACTGTATGAACTCCCGCCTCGGACCGTCCGAGTCCGCGCCACTCTCGTCGCCGTCCTCCGCGCCGTCGTCGTGGTTGCGCCCATGGGTGGCGGCGCGCCTCCCTGCGCAGCGCGCCGCGTCGGCACGCCTCCCAGACGTGGCCTTGGCCTCTGCCCTTGCCATGGCCCTGGCGCGGCTAGAAGCGCTCTGGACTCTCGCCCTGGCCTTGGCGCCGGCGCCGTCAGAGAGGCCGCGTATCCTCCGCCATTCAAGCGCCGCGGCCACCTCTCGGCGTCCTCAGGAGACACCGTCCTGAGCTGGCCGGCGAGCTCGTGCATAGACACGCAGGGGTGTTAGTGGGGGCCACGAAGACCACAGACCTCGGACAGCACTCGGAGCATCCAGGAGGCCACGAGCAAAGCGGCCACGAGGTGTCTGCGAGGTCACAGGAGGGATCCTTGGTGTTCACCTTGTCGACCGCGGAGGCCATGCAGGACTGGGCAGCCACGCAGAAGCAGTCGAAACTGCATTGCCCAACTCCGCGTCATATTCGTCATCTTCTTCTTTCTCATCGCCTAGCCCCTTCCCCTCCTCCCCATCGATTCCTCCTGCCATGTGCCGCAGCACGCAAACTGGGCTGCAGAAGTCAAGTGGCGCTAGCGTGCTGCTTGCTGTTGAACCAGCTGACCCTGCCGAGCTGGAGGCTGCACATCTCCGAAATTCGCAAGCGAGAACTTGGCATTCGCCAACTCGTCGCCATCCTTGCACTTCGGGGCCCTCTGAATGCTGGCGCCCAGCGGCTTCTGGCCAGAGCGGCTGGCAGACTTCCGAAGGCGGACGCGTTCCTTCGTGGCGCCTCCCACGACCACCCAGCCCAGGGGGGCCTCTTGCAATCCCCTGGCGCACCAGGGCTCCACTCGTGCCGCGCTCTTGCCGACCCTCGGGGCAAGGGGCTCTCCCATCTCCGCCCGGCTGGCGCCCTTCTGCGGTGACCTGCACAAGCGCGCACGCGCGCGTATGAAGGGGCCCTGGGACACACAAACAAATAGACACAAATGACAGGATTCCCCATATTTCCCCTTGTTTTCTGGGTTTCTGTCCCCCCCCCCCACTTCCCATATTTTCCCATATGTTCCTGGGAAATCGACGATTCATTGTGTCTGTGTGTTTGTGTGTGTGTGTTCGTTTGTTTGTTTGTTTGTTTGTTTGTTTGTTTGTTTGTTTGTTTGTTTGTTTGTTTGTTTGTTTGTTTGTTTCTTTGTTTTGTTTGTTTTTTTTTGTGTGTGTGTGTGTGTGTGTGTGTCTGTGTCTGTGTCTGTGTCTGTGTCTGTGTCTGTGTCTGTGTCTGTGTCTGCGTCTGTGTCTGTGTCTGTGTCTGTGTCTGTGTCTGTGTCTGTGTCTGTGTCTGTGTCTGTGTCTGTGTCTGTATGTTTTTTCCCCCTCCTGAGCGCACGCAGGACGACGTGCGCGCAAGCCTTTCTGCTGGTGCTGACTGCTGCCCGCTGCGGCGACCCGCCGGGCGGGGCAGCGCCCTGAGCCTGCAGCGAGAGACGCGAACCACTTCGGCACGCACGAGGGCAGCGCTGCGCCCCCGACGTGCTGCACGCGTGCTTACCAGCCTCGAACGTATCCCTATCCCTAAGATTGACACGCCAAAAGGCGATGACAATCTTAGGGATTCGCCCTCCAAAAATAAGGGAATCCCTAAGATTGGCATCGTAATGAGGAGGCGCCCAACATAGGGATAGGGATATGTTCCAGGCTGGTAACGTGCGCCCTCACGAGGACGGGGCTGAACCTAAACGGTGTTTTCCGTTCTCGTTCTGTCTTCGTTTTCCCTCGTTTCGTCTTCCATCCGCCTCTACCGCAGAACGAAGCCGGAACGAAACCGACCCACGAGATCGCCAAAACACCGTTTTTAGGTTCACCCCTGCACGAGGACTGGCTGGCCCATGGCCGAGGATGCGCGGCGCGCTTCCGTCCTGCTCGTCGCCCCGCTCGTCGCCCCGCCCCTCGCGGTCGCCCTGCTCCTCCTCCTGGGCCTCTCCGCCCAGCGAGGGGTGGGAGAGCGTGCCAAGTGGTGGCGCGAACATGCGCGAACCTCTCCATCCGCCCGGATGCTCCGATGCTGGCGACGTGCACTTTGGTGGGACACGCCATGCTGCGGTGCGCGAGCTCCTGTGGGGGGGAGGAGGCAGGCCACCGAAGCGCGCCTCGCGCGCCAAGAGTGCCGACTGCCCGAGCCGGACCCCCATGCTTGAGGGGCCCAGGGACGCACAAGTAGATAGACACAAATCCCAGGACTCCCCACATTTTCCACAATTCCTCGATGTTCGTCTTCCTCTCCACTTCCCATCTTTTCCATTGGATTTCCCGAGGAATCGACGATTATTTGTGTCGGTGTGTGTGTGTGTGTGTATGTGTGTGTGTGTGTGTTTCCCCGTCCTGGCATGCGGCCGTCGCACCGCGCCCTTCCTCGATCTGACCGCCTCCCTCCCCCCTGGAGGGAGGAAGCCTCCAGAGGCCTCCATGGGTCCCCCAGCGATCATCCGTGTGACCTCGAGGGGCCTCTGGACAGAGGTCTCCGGAAGACCCGGATGGTTCTCAAACAACAATGTGGACCCTGCTGCCCCTGCTCCGCCCGCCACCTCCCGTCTCGACCGAGAGCGCCACCGCCTGCACCGCGTCCAGAAGCTCCTTCTCCTCGCCCATGAACGCGTGCGCCTCCTGTCGGCTACACGCAAGCGTGATCCCAGACAAGAGTGGCCTTGCCTTGCGCGGCGTAACTGGCGGACGCGGGGTGGCCAAACCTGGGCGCGCAAGCCGCTGCTACCGCTTCGCGCTCAGCGATCGGGGGACCCCATCGAGCCCGCACCAGAGGCCACTCTGGCGAAAGGCCACTCTGACGTCTGGTCGATCCTGGGAACTGGCGTCAGGGCCAGAAAAAACACAGAATATATTTGCGTCTTGATTCGCACTGTCGTCATACATCGGAGGGAGGCTTGGAGGGAACGCGAGGGCAGGTGCAACAGAGCTGCGAGGGAAGAGCGGCGGCAGGGGTGCTCGGGCCGGTGTCGTGGGCACCGCTTGGGCGTCGTGGGCACTCGCCTGTCTGTTTCACTGTGTGCTGCAGTCCGCTTCCATGCTGAAGACAGCTCACCTGGGCAGCGTTTCTGGATGGGCTGCTGGGGTTTGCGAAGCGTGAGGAGTCCCACAAGCCCTCTGGGCGTAGGTGGTTTAACGAACTCTTGTCTTCTCTCTGGTCAAATTATGTGTCCAAGTTGGCTTCAAAAGAGCTTCTGAGAGCGCAAGATGGCCTCCAATATGTCCCACGATACTCGAAGATGGGTCAAGATAGCCTCTGATATACCTCCAAGAGGCCTCAAGACGGCCCCAAGACGGTTCCAAGTGCCCTTCGAGTCCTCCAAGGGCCTCCCCAAGAGACTAACAGACCTACACAACCAACGAAAATCAATGTTGTTTGCGGCGTTCTCGCCTTTTGGCTTTCGATGGGCCTCGGAAGCCTCAAGATGGCCCCAAGACTGCCTAAAAGAGCACCGAGAGTGGCCCAAGAGGGCCCCAAGACGGCCCTAAGAGCGCGCCAAGAGGTCCCAAGGTGACATTTTTGAGCCTCCGAGAGTGGGGTTGAATCGAGGACCCCCCCTCCTTTTGAGCCATGGGGCCCAAAAGGCCTCCCAGACCCCTCAGAGCCCCAAGAGGGCCCTAAGACCCCCAAAATGAGCCCCAATAGGGGGGCCCCAAGAGTGCCCCCAGAAACCCACGGGGACTCCAAGAGAGCCCCTGAGATGGCCTTAGTCGTCCTTCAAGAACCTCTCACAACAACATATCTTCAAAGCCCGACTTCTCATCTTCCTTGTCATCGTCCGTTACTTCTCTCCTCCTTTCCTGCTTCTTATCTTCTCTTCTCTTCTCTTCTCTTCTCTTCTCTTCTCTTCTCTTCTCTTCTCTTCTCTTCTCTTCTCTTCTCTTCTCTTCTCTTCTCTTCTCTCTTCTCTTCTCTTCTCTTCTCTTCTCTTCTCTTCTCTTCTCTTCTCTTCTCTTCTCCTTTCCTCCT